CCCAAAATGTGATTTCGAGGTAATGTCCCAAAAGGTTGCAAAATTTTGGCTAAAGGGGTTTCTGAAGATCAGAAATCCGAATCGGCAACTACTTTTCGAAAATGTTGTCATTTCATGACGATTTATGATTATATTGATTAGGTTTTCCCAAATATCTCACGCACCCTGTATAGTAGACGAAAGCTCTAAATCCGAGAATTGTAGCTCTCGATGCAGTTCGTAATACGTTTGAAACCATATGTTTACAGTTTTTCATTTATAGATAATATTTTATACACGAAACATAATCGGAAAAATTACGGTAATCGAGATTAAAACCCTGAATCTCCCACGTTCCGTGGTAGATGAAGTTTGCCAATAGAGCAAATGGTTTTCGAGAAAATAATACTTATCTGAAACAATGTAGCGCACAGCACGTTGTAATGGTGTTGTCATCGCGTCTAAATTGGGCGCGATTTTCACATGCATTTTTTCAAATATCTCGAGCAGCGCGTCCGGTAGAAGAAAACCGTATAACACCGTTTAAACCAGTTGGCCATGTTTTTCAAGAAGTTTGATTTACGCATGTGTTCTAGATGAAAACCGTAAATACAAAAATTGCAGCTCTGGGTGTGGTCTACACCTACGTTCTAACCAATCGGCCATATTTTTTACGAATTTTGACCAACTGCTAATAATGTACTCTGGAAATGGACAATTTTCAGAGTCATTAAGATTTTTGTCTATAATGAAAAAACTATGCATATAATCGAAAAAATGGCTGTAATAAAAGTTATAGTCCCGGATCTTGTCCGTCTTTTGGTTCAAGAATTTTGTCGATCGGGTAGATCGTTTTCGCGAAATGAATTTTTTTATGCAGCCCAAAAAGACTAACAAAAAATTTTTCGAAAATTTTAAAAAAATATTTGCCGATGTCCGATTGCGCCTAGCTTCAAGTATTCGGGTGCGGGGGTGGACTTTTACCACCCTGCCAAATTTGAAGTCGATAGCTGCAAATTTGGGACACCTGTTGCATTTTTCAATAAGATTATAGTCGAAACAGCTATTTTCATGACTTAACGGACTGAAATCTACATTAAAACTTCAGGTAACTACTTGCTACTTACAAAAATTAACCTTAGAAAAGCAGATATGCACTTAAAAACCCTCTTTTTGGGACAAATAATTGGTTTCCGCTCTAGATTTCGAACAGATTATAGTTAAAACCTGCTTTTTTATAACTTTCCGGACTCAAATCTACATTAAAACTGCAGATTCTAGTCAAAATCGGCTTATTTTTTGATCCAATACACAGTTACCTTTTGTTGTCAATATGCTTCAAATTATATTCAAAGTTGGCGTCTTCGTGTATTAGAGTAACGCAAACCTTTATAAACCGTTAGATATCGATATAAAACCCCCCTTTCTGAGTCAAATAGTTGCCGATTTCGATAACTTCGTTCGTTAAATATAAAACTTTTTACGAGTAATTGCGATTTCCATTTATATTATTTCAAATAACCTGCGCTCCCTGATTGATGGACAAATAGAAAAATTGTAGCAAAGATATAAGTCGATGAGGTCTATGCGTAAATACCAGAAAAGTCCCCCCAGCCCCCTCCACTTAAATATAATTAATTATTTGTTTTAATTTTGCAACCTCATACAAAAACCGTTCCCGACGACAAACGGTATAACTTGTGGGAATCTTTTTGGTATTCTTTTATAGAGTTAGAACCAAAGTATTTAACGTATAAATCTCAAATTCTCAAAATAAGATATAAAATAAGATATAAAACATTCAAAATTGATCATTGATTTTTAAGCCGATTTTTCCATGTAAAATGAGATTTTAAGGTTATTTCTCAATCTATATTGATCCGATGAAGTTGAAATTTTTATGGAAGATGCACATCAACGTAGTCTATTCGCACATACTACAATGTCGCCTCCAAACCCCCATTTTTGGTTAATATCTTCAATATATTATTTTCATATTTATCATGTTTTTCTTCAAAAATTTTAGATTCTTAATTTTTTTAAATATATACCTTTCTCCGAGAAGATTGAAATTTTTATTGAAGTTAGAGGTCAATGAGGTCTTTTCGCAAATACCATAAAGTCTGCCTCCAGCCCCCCTATCATTAGTTAATATTCTCAATTTATAATTTTCATGGATATCATGATATTCCTCAAAAATTCAAATTTTCATTTTTTTAAAATACTTAGATTGCTATGAAAAGATTTTTTTTTTGAAGATGGAGGTCAATGAGCTCTATCCATAGAAATTATAAAGTCCTTCCCAGCTCCCACCATTTGATTATAAAAAATAATTAATACAATTTTTAAAAAAATTGTAGTCTCCTACAAAAACCGTTTCCGACAAAAAACTATACCACTTGACTAAGATCTTTTGGTATCATTAAATGGAGAAAATACTAAAGTATATAACATAAATTTCAAATTCTTAAAACTATAAATAACGGAAATATAAAATATTTTATATAAAAAATTCGTTTTTTTGTTAATATATTGTCCCCCGGAAGGACTAAGGAGCTTATATATAAACAACTGACTTTTTTTTAATACCCCCCCGACCCCTTATTGGTATTGGTATTGGTATTAAAGGGGGGCGCCCTCGCGGGCGTCCAAGCACTTAGGCCACCAGATGGGCCCGTTGTGCCCCCAGGCCGCTCTAGAGGGCGTCCAGAATGCCGCCCCTCCTGTAGAAGGTCAGCAATTCCTTTAGCCCAATACCGTGCACTGAGTCCGGATCGATCAGGGCCGTTCCGAAGACTCCCAATCTTGCCCATGTCAAGGCAGGGCACTCGGTGAGCAGATGATACGGGGTCTCCTCCCCTTCCATGCACCACCTACACTCCGGGTCATCTCCAATGCCTAGCAAGCAGAGATGCCTCCTAAGCCTGCAATGTCCTGTGTAGGCCCCTGTTAGTGCTCTACACTCCCTCCTGGTCAGTCTAAGCAGCTCCCTGGTCCGAGGAAGGGCGGACCCATCCATCATAAGCCTCGCCTGCCTCATTCCCGGAGCAACTCTCCAGCCCCCCGCGGCCCGGTCTCTCGCCCAGGCTTCGAGAGCTCCCCGCCTCACACACGGTTCGATCCCCAAGCGGGGCTCTGGCCCTATATGCCTATGCGAGGAGCCCTCCCTGGCTAAGGCGTCCGCTGCCTCATTGCCCCGGACACCGGTGTGACCCGGGACCCAGACCAACGTGACCTTTCTCTCCTCAGCCACCCTCCTCAGTACCCCTTTGCACTCCTTTATCAACAAGGAGCGCGTACGCACTGACTTCAGCGCCATGAGTGCAGCCCTACTATCCGAGCAGAAGAAGACTCTCCTGCTTCCGTAGTTGAGCCGAAGCACCTCTCTGGCCGCCATCAATAAAGCGAAAATTTCCGCCTGAAACACAGTGCAGTACTGACCCAGAGGGACCGACAAGCTTGATCCCGTTGTCTCGCAGTACGCTCCAGCTCCGGCCAGATCTCCCATTCTGGACCCGTCCGTGTACCAGACAAGTCCATCCCAGGAGCCGACTCTGCCCTCTCTCCAATCTTCCCTTGATGGAAAGAGAAAGGTCAATTTATCAAAGAAATGTTGAGGTTGCACTCCATCTTCCTTTTCCTAGTGAAGATGACCATCTCCACCTTGCTAGGATTGATAGCCAACTTGCTGTCCAGGCACCATTGTGAGAATCTTGCCAATGCCCCGTTCACGAGCCCCTGCATCCTCCTCACGTCCGTCCCCTGCGTCATTATCACAAGGTCGTCTGCATATGCCTGAGCATAGACCCCGTGTTCTTCCCTCAGAATATGCAATATCTCGTTCACCACCAGGCACCACAGGAACGGGGACAAGACCCCGCCCTGTGGACAACCCCGTGATGAACCGATGGAGACCTGCTCCACACCCAGTCTTGCCTCGACCCTCCTGTCGGTTAGCATGGAGCGGATCCACCTTACAATGGCCGTCCCCACTCCAGTACTCTCCACCGCCCTGCAGATCAAGTACAGGGCCGTGTTATTGAAAGCCCCTTCGATGTCAGCGAACACGCACACCGACAGCCGTCCCGAGCCCATACCCTCCTCCAACCTGGAAGTCAGATGGTGAAGAGCTGAGCCCACAGACCCGCCACTTCGGTACGCATGCTGAGCTGGCTCTAAAGGGGCCTCCAGCTCCACCCAGTCCCTCAGATACCGGTCCACCAGCCTCTCCAGAGTCTTCATAATGAAGCTGGTGAGGCAAACAGGCCGGTACGACTTCGGGTCTGTGTAGTCACTCTTCCCTACCTTGGGAATGAACACTACCCTGCTGTGTCTCCACAGCTCGGGCACGTACCCCCTCGCAATGGAGGCCCTGAATAGGTCCATCAGCGGGCTGGTCAGGAGACCTCCATCCCTTTGCAGCAGAGCCGGAAATACTCCATCCCCGCCCGCCGACTTGAAGGGGCCAAAGCTGTCAATAGCCCACCTCAGCCTACTATGGGTAACCACCCTCCTTGCCGTGGCGTAGTCGCCTCCAAGACGACCCCCGGCTTCAATATTCCCCCCTGTGTCCGGATCAGCGGACCCTGGGAAGTGCGTGTTCAGCAGCTGATGTAGTGTGTCCGCTGGTCCCGCTGTGTAGCCACCGCCGGTCCTGCGGACCACCCCCAGTCTTCCCGCAGGGTCACTTCTGAGTACCCTAAGGAGCCTAGCCGCGTCCGGGGTATTCATTACTCCGTCGCAGTAGCCCCTCCAGGCCCTCCTCCGTGATGCCCGTATCATCGTGTCAAATTTCAAGCGAATCGGTTAACATCGACCTCGATCCAAAATTTTCATGAGCTCTTGGTCGTGATTTTTTCCCAAAATTTAAATTTTTAATTTTTTAAAATATCTACGTTGCCACTAGAAGCTTGAAATTTTAACTGTAGATGGAGGTCAATGAGACCTATCCGCAGATACTATAAAGTCTCCCCCAGCCCCCTCCATTGAATTGTAATTAAGCATTATTTTAAAATTTTCAGCATCCCACAAAAACCGTTCCCCACGGCAAACGGTACAACTTGTGTGAAACTTTTTGGTGTTGTTGGATAGAGGAAGGACGTAGGTATATAACATATAGATCTCAATTTCTCTCAGTTTAAAATCACCGTATTTAAAAATGTTTTTTATATTAGCTAGTTTTTACTTTTAATAATCAATAATTGACAAATTCTGCCTGAACAAATCTAATACACAAATTTTTGTAATATGTCATTCATAAAATTTGTTATTAAAATATTGAGACAATAGAATTTTGAAAATTAACATATTAATATCGCTATCTACAGATTTGCGCAATCCAAAAACAATGGCAACCCCGACCATTCAAATTGAAGATAATTTAAATGGTATGTATATATTATTTTATTATAAAAATACCGTATTTACATTTTTTAATAATAATAATAAAAATAAACACTTGGATAAATTACTCAAAAGAAAATTGATAAAGTATTACAATTTTAATAAAAATATATTATCAACAAAAAAATAATTCAACAAAATAGTTTTAAAAAACATCAACTTAATTCATGTATAAAATATTGAAAAATTATAACCTCATGATTAAACAATAAGTAAATATCATATTAATTGAAAATTAAATAATAACCTACTATAGCACTTTTCTAAATTTTCATTTAAATGTAAATTCAATTAATATAGACACATATATTTTTTCAAAAATTTCTAAATCATAAAAAAATCATAAAAATAATATTACAGATCTTCCACCTATTGATGTAGCAGAAAAAAATAACGACAGGGAAATGAGTGGTAAGTGTAATTAAGAAACCAATAATTAATTTTTTAGATTTAATTAGTAGTAAAATAAAAAAATTGCAAAAATTAAAAGAGTTTATTATTACTAAAATATATATACAATAAAAATTACATTAAATAACTACTAATAAAATTCTTCCCATTACTTTTCGAAATAAATAAGAGATATGACTAGAAACTTTCTACTTCTGGATAACAATTTTTTATGCGAAATAAGTCCAGATATAATGACGTTCTATATACTATATATACTATTTTTTATTTAACGTCTAGATAAAATTGAAGATTTAAAGAAAATTAATAAAGAACAACAAATAGAAATTGAAAAATTAAAAAAAAAGAAAACGAAAAAGTAGAGGGAAGAATTTTTTATAACAGAGGGGAAAGAGGACAACGAAGAGGTGGAACAAGAGCCGGAAGAGGTGGAAGAAGAGCCGGAAGGGGTGGAAGAGGAATGGGAAGGGGTCGAAGAGGAATGGGAAGAAATTACTATTTAAAAAAACTGCAGTTGAATATATTAAATAATATAATAAATAGTTAAAATATTACATGGACTCTTTTATTTATATTACATTTTTACTTCATTAGAAATTAATGCATAATTAAACAATAAGTAATAATTAATTTATTACATTTCAGAAAATTATTTTATATCTATGAAATAATCTTAATAAAATAAAGTAAAAAAAAAACAGTTTAATAAATCTGAAATTAAAAATAAACTGCAAATGCCAAAAAAAATTAACTTTTCTTACAATTATTTAAAATTTTTAATTAAAATTAAAATTACATTATCAGAAACACATTGCCTTTTATCTTAATCGATCTTGTAAAGTTTTGAAATCAACAAATAGTTAGTACAACTGTCAATAATTGGAATTTGAAGGTGGTTTTGGAGATTTTGAGGTACGCTGAAGAAGATGCAATGATTTAAAGTTGTGCCCAACGTTTCGTTTTCGCAGGAAGCCATCTTCAGGGCACTAATTCGTAATAATTGGAATTTGAAGGTGGTTCCGGGGGTTTTAAGGTTCGCTGAAGACGATGCAATGATTTCAAATTTTGTCCAACGTTTCGTTTTAGCAGAAAGCCATCTTCAGAGCATTAATTCGTAATAATTGGAATTTGAAGGTGGTGCCGAGGATTTTGAGGTTCGGTGAAGACGATGCAATGATTTAAAATTGTGTCCGACGTTTCGTTTTAGCAGGAAGCCATCTTCAGAGCACTAATGTGTAATAATTGTAATTTGAAGGTGGTTCCGAAGGTTTTTAGGTGCGCTGAAGACGATGCAATGATTTAAAATTGTGTCCGACGTTTTGTTTTAGCAGGAAGTCATCTTCAGAGCACTAATTTGTAATAATTGTAATTTGAAGGTGGTTCCGGGGGTTTTGAGGTGCGCTGAAGACGATGCAATAATTTAAAATTGTGTCCGACGTTTCGTTTTAGTATAAAGCTATCTTCAGAGCACCGATTCTGAATAATTGGAATTTGAAGGTGGTTTTGGAGATTTTGAGGTACGCTGAAGAAGATGCAATGATTTAAAGTTGTGCCCAACGTTTCGTTTTCGCAGGAAGCCATCTTCAGAGCACTAATTCGTAATAGTTGGAATTTGAAGGTGGTTCTGGGGGTTTTGAGGTTCGCTGAAGACGACGCAATGATTTAAAATTGTGTCCGATGTTTCATTTTAGTATAAAGCCATTTTCAGAGCACTGATTCTCAATAATTTGAATTTGAAGGTGGTTTTGGAGATTTTGAGGTACGCTGAAGGAGATGCAATGATTTAAAATTGTGCCCAACGTTTCGTTTACGTGCAGTTTTATTAATCTTTAATCCTATTGGTCTATGCATGCCGTGGGAGGCTCTTTTCATTATAGATATTCGTTGGAATGACAACGTCAGAAGTGATAACGATATCGAAGGCGGTTATGGGGGTTTTGAGGTGCGCTGAAGACGTTGCAATGATTTAAAATTGTGTCCGACGTTTCGTTTTAGTTTTGTTGTTTGTTTTAGTTTTCGTTTTAGTAGGAAGTCATCTTCTAATAATTGGAATTTGAAGATGGTTCCGGGGGTTTTGAGGTGCGCTAAAGACGATTCAATGATTTAAAATTATGTCCGACGTTACGTTTTAGTAGGAAGCCATCTTCAGAGCATTGATTCCTAATAATTAGAATTTGAAGGTGATTCCGTGAGTTTTAAGGTGCGCTGAAAACGATGCGATGATTTAAAATTGTATCCGACATTTCGTTTTAGTAGTAAGCCATCTTCAGAGCATTGATTCTTAACAATGGGAATTTGAAGGTTGTTCCGGGGGTTTTGAGGTGCGCTGAAGACGATGCAATGATTTCAAATTGTGTCAGATGTTTCGTTTTAGTAAGAAGCCATCTTCAGAACATTGATTCTTAATAATTGGAATTTGAAGGTGGTTCCGGGAGTTTTAAGGTGCGCTGAAGACGATGCGATGATTTAAAATTGTGTCCGACGTTTCGTTTTAGCAGGAAGCCATCTTCAGAGCACTAATGTGTAATAATTGTAATTTGAAGGTGGTTCCGGAGGTTTTTAGGTGCGCTGAAGACGATGCAATAATTTAAAATTGTGTCCGACGTTTCGTTTTAGTATAAAGCTATCTTCAGAGCACCGATTCTCAATAATTGGAATTTGAATTTGCTTTTGGAGATTTTGAGGTACGCTGAAGAAGATGCAATGATTTAAAGTTGTGCCCAACGTTTCGTTTTCGCAGGAAGCCATCTTCAGAGCACTAATTCGTAATAGTTGGAATTTGAAGGTGGTTCTGGGGGTTTTGAGGTTTGCTGAAGACGACGCAATGATTTAAAATTGTGTCCGTCGTTTCGTTTTCGCAGGAAGCCATCTTCAGAGCACTAATTCGTAATAATTGGAATTTGAAGGTGGTTCCGGGGGTTTTAAGGTTCGCTGAAGACGATGCAATCATTTAAAATTTTGTCCAAAGTTTCGCTTTAGCAGAAAACCATCTTCAGAGCACTAATTCGTAATAATTGGAATTTGAAGGTGGTTCCGGGAATTTTGAGGTTCACTGAAGACGATGCAATGATTTAAAATTGTGTCCGACGTTTCGTTTATTGCAGGAAGCCATCTTCAGAGCACTAATTCGTAATAATTGGAATTTAAAGATGGTTCCGAAAGTTTTGAGGTACGCTGAAGACGATGCAATGATTTAAAATTGTGTCTGACGTTTCGTTTTAGTAAGAAGTTATCTTCAGAGCCCTAATTCATAATAATAGGAATTTGAAGGTGAAACCGGTGGTTTTAAGGTGCGGTGAAGACGATGCAATGATTTAAAATTGTGTCCGACGTTTCGTTTTAGTAAGAAGCCATCTTCAGAGCATTAATTCATAATAATAGGAATTTGAAGGTGATTCCGGGGGTTTTAAGGTGCGCTGAAGACGATGCAATAATTTAAAATTATGTCCGACGTTTCGTTTTAGTAGAAAGCTATCTTCAGAGCACTAATTCGTAATAACTGGAATTTGAAGGTGGTTCCGGGGGTTTTGAGGTTCGCTGAAGACGATGCAATGATTTAAAATTGTGTCTGACGTTTCGTTTTAGTAAGAAGCCATCTTCAGAGCCCCAATTCATAATAATAGGAATTTGCAGGTGATTCCCTGGGTTTTAATGTGCGCTGAAGACGATGCAATGATTTAAAATTGTGACCGACCTTTCGAAGCCATCTTCAGAGCACTAATTCGTAATAATTGGAATTTGAAAATGGTTCCGGGGGTTTTGAGGTGCGCTGAAGACGATGCAATGATTTAAAATTGTGTCCGACGTTTCGTTTTAGTAGGAAGCCATCTTCAGAGCATTGATTCTTAATAATTCGAATTTGAAGATGGTTCCGGGGGTTTTGAGATTCGCTGAAGACGATGCAATAATTTAAAATTTTGTCCAACGTTTCGTTTTCGCAGAAAGCCATCTTCAGAGCACTAATTCGTAATAATTGGAATTTGAAGGTGGTTCCGGGGGTTTTAGGGTTCGCTGAAGACGATGCAATCATTTAAAATTTTGTCCAACGTTTCGCTTTAGCAGAAAACCATCTTCAGAGCACTAATTCGTAATAATTGGAATTTGAAGGTGGTTCCGGGGATTTTGAGGTTCGCTGAAGTCGATGCAATGATTTAAAATTGTGTCCGACGTTTCGTTTTAGTAGGAAGCCATCTTCAGAGCATTGATTCTTTATAATTCGAATTTGAAGATGGTTCCGGGGGTTTTGAGATTCGCTGAAGACGATGCAATAATTTAAAATTTTGTCCAACGTTTCGTTTTCGCAGAAAGCCATCTTCAGAGCACTAATTCGTATTAATTGGAATTTGAAGGTGGTTCCGGGGGTTTTGAGGTTCGCTGAAGACGATGCAATGATTTCAAATTTTGTCCGACGTTTCGTTTTAGTATAAAGCTATCTTCAGAGCACCGATTCTCAATAATTGGAATTTGAAGGTGGTTTTGGAAATTTTGAGGTACGCTGAAGAAGATGCAATGATTTAAAGTTGTGCCCAACGTTTCGTTTTCGCAGGAAGCCATCTTCAGGGCAGTAATTCGTAATAGTTGGAATTTGAAGGTGGTTCTGGGGGTTTTGAGGTTCGCTGAAGACGACGCAATGATTTAAAATTGTGTCCGACGTTTCGTTTTCGCAGGAAGCCATCTTCAGAGCACTAATTCGTAATAATTGGAATTTGAAGGTGGTTCCGGGGGTTTTAGGGTTCGCTGAAGACGATGCAATCATTTAAAATTTTATCCAACGTTTCGCTTTAGCAGAAAACCATCTTCAGAGCACTAATTCGTAATAATTGGAATTTGAAGGTGGTTCCGGGGATTTTGAGGATCGCTGAAGTCGATGCAATGATTTAAAATTGTGTCCGACGTTTCGTTTTAGTAGGAAGCCATCTTCAGAGCATTGATTCTTAACAATTCGAATTTGAAGATGGTTCCGGGGGTTTTGAGATTCGCTGAAGACGATGCAATAATTTAAAATTTTGTCCAACGTTTCGTTTTCGCAGAAAGCCATCTTCAGAGCACTAATTCGTAATAATTGGAATTTGAAGGTGGTTCCGGGGGTTTTGAGGTTCGCTGAAGACGATGCAATGATTTAAAATTTTGTCCAACGTTTCGTTTTCGCAGAAAGCCATCTTCAGAGCACTAATTCGTAATAATTGGAATTTGAATGTGGTTCCGGGGGTTTTGAGGTTCGCTGAAGACGATGCAATCATTTAAAATTTTGTCCAACGTTTCGCTTTAGCAGAAAACCATCTTCAGAGCACTAATTTGTAATAATTGTAATTTGAAGGTGGTTCCGGGGGTTTTGAGGTGCGCTGAAGACGATGCAATAATTTAAAATTGTGTCCGACGTTTCGTTTTAGTATAAAGCTATCTTCAGAGCACCGATTCTCAATAATTGGAATTTGAAGGTGGTTTTGGAGATTTTGAGGTACGCTGAAGAAGATGCAATGATTTAAAGTTGTGCCCAACGTTT